CGTTTTAAGAAGATCATCGAATGCTAAAAAGAATATGATGAATAATAATATTTGTGGTAGAAAACACAGTTACTTTTTACTTATTTACGACACGAATAGGAATGAAATGTGTTTTTGCTTGAGTTTTTTGTGTTATGGGCACATTAAAAAAGAAAAAAACATCGCTGTTTTTCGTTCTGTGGGATAGAAAGCACTTTTTTTTTATTGACACAACGTCACATGAGTATTGTAGGAAAACGTCAGAAAGAAAAATAGTATTGCATATACAATGATGAAATATCAACTCGGGGTTGACAAACAATGATTAAGAGTTATGGGATTTTTTTCATTGATATTGAGAACACAAACATCTGCAACTAAAACATGTCTCCGACCGTGCTCCATAAAAAACGGTTGCAATACAGACTTTGATCCTTGAAAATATTCTTACTGATTCTACATACAAGGCAGATTGTAATATAATTCGAAAGAAAAAATGGAAACAGATAGTTTCCTTTTCAAATTTCCTTACTCACTAGATTTTTTTCTGTCAAACCTTGCTAATAAATTTACATCAATATAATTATGTATTATAGAAAAATCGCTGATTTTAAAGTAGCAAATCGCATTTTTTTTTCTTTCTTTCATTCGTTTCGGATGAATAATTTTGTATTTTTGCGTCATCTTTAAATCGTAATTACTGAAAGAAAAATATTGAAAATGTAACAAAAAATTGGTCACAACAGAAAAATGAAGATTTATATACAGGTAGTCAAACAAAGTATTAAAATTATCATACTTTCATATTTTTCAATTTATGCACGAAACAAAGTAACGAGCGGTTCATAAAGAATGCGATTCTCCATATTTTTTCAACATCTTCTCTAATTTTCATAGATTCAGACTGAATTTGTCTTTCAAAAAAAAAAATTCAGACTTTTATTAGCTACAATACAATACACAAATGTATCTCATAGAAATAAATCCAAGCAAAATAGTTACTATAGTAATACTGCAGGTGGCATACAATATAAAAAATTTTCAAACAAAAAATACAGTTCTTCTGTATTGATATATCTTCATATTGAGCTACGTAAACAAATTGTACTATGGATTTTGTCGAACTTTAAAAGCTCTATGTTATTAGTACGTGTAAGAATTTTCATTGAATAGAATAAAAGCAAAATAGACGTTACCTATTTGAAAAAAAATGAGTAACATTTATTTTATGCGATAAAGTTTCATTATAAAAATTCTTGGATACACTAATACGCGATAGAGATTTTGAAGCTCTACAAAATAGATAGCATGATTCGTCTGTATAACTCGATGCGAGAACACATAAATATGGGAACAGGATGTAAACCGTTCTGTTGAATTTTTCTTTTTCATCGTTGAATGATGTGTTTCTTCCGACATAATATATATGTCAAATAACTTGTCTAGCATCATCATAAAAGCAGTGTTCCTCGCCAGTTACATAATGTTCGTATCATTCATTGCATAATTGACAATGTATTCATCACGTTGGAGAAAATCTTTTTTCAATGACAGCGGTATATCAACGATATACTGATCTTCTTTCTTACGATCTTTATAGGAAGAATGTTACATATAACATTAACAAGAGTGCTTATCATAATAATAAATCTTGGAGTCATAAATGATATTGATCAAATGTTTTCTTTATTGACATGTGATCTAATGCGACGAACAATTGCAAACTTTACTATTTCTTGTAGAAAAAAAGAAAATTATAGAACATTTAAAAATTCTAGATTTAGGTGCCATTTTCTAATTTTTTGAAGATTTTAGCTAAATATAATTTTATTTTGAACTTTTCTCATATATTTTAAAGAAGGATTACATCCAGGCGAGACAAAAATTCTTGACATTGACTTTATCCAATTTTGCTGATATGATCAGTGGTTTCTATTTTCAAACTCTCACTGTGACAAATAATTTAAGTTAACCGATTGTCAGCAATTCCAAGCTTTATGATATTTCGAAACAAATCGATATAAATCGTGTATAGTTGAATTTACTTAGATTTGCCACGAATAGAATGAGATCACTTGTTCTGTGCTCTCTCCACAAGAAAGTCTTAAGGAGGTTGCTTTTCAAAAATAATAGATACCTTTCCGATTATTTTAACTTTCAGTTTCAATATTCAAATTAACCTAAAAACCAAGCAAACATGTATTTTATTAAATAATTGCTGATGTTTGCTTCTGAGGCAGCCATAAATCCAGGCAATAATAATTCAATCTTGACTCGATTATTGATACTCACCTTATTGATAAAAGAGTAGCTTATTTTTTTCTTTATTGAAACTTATAAGTCACGTCTGTTATGAAAAATCGTTATTTTTTTGCACAATAAGACTTCCATAACCTCATAAACAAGAATTCAAGTTTTGATAGACTCATTGTCAACTTGGATTTCTCGATTTCGAAAAATCATGTGACGCTTCTCACCCGATTTTCAGTAAAATTATTGCTTAAGAGAACGTTCATGAGAAGGTCAACGATTATCCCAGTATATGAGGCATAGTCTAAAACCAGTAATTAAAACTTATGAATTTGACTAATGTGATCTTTTTGAACAGAAAGATGAGTTCGATTAAGTACTAATGTTAAATATAAAATGGATCAGCCTATCTTTAAATTTGTTTAGTATTTTTTTTGGATTGTCTTTCATCATTAAAACCCTCATGCAACATGAACTTTGTTCAACTTCAATTGAATTAATCGCTAAACTATTAGTTTTTTCGTTAAATAGGAATCATTCTTAATCAATATTTGAATATATAAAATTAAGTAGTTCAAGACACCATAGACATTCAGTAAAAAAATGGAAGTTTTTCTTTGTGATTCGAATAATGTTCAATATACTTTGACTAATGGTCGATTTTTTCTATGAAAAAAAACCTATTGTATCTCTTTATGGATTTTGGAAAAATTTCTATATTCAAATAATGACCAAGTTTTTCGTCATCTTAGAAAAGGTATTTGTTTTCAAAGAAAGTCAAAGGATCTCCGAAATAAATCGTGTAAATTGTTATACTAGAGTTTTTTCCTTGCATTCTATAGGAAAAATTTTGTTCTAATGATTTCCTTTCTAGAAAAGTATCTATACTTCAATACCGTTCCAAAGTTGATGAAACTTTCAAAAATTATTAGTCTTTATCTGATATGTTTATTCAGTCAACATAAAGATGCATACATATTTCTGGATTGAACTACACATTTTCTATGAAACCTTAGTTTTAAAAAAGGTTTCCCTCATTCTTTTGTCTCATAATTTTTTAACACAAAAATAACAACATATTCAGAAAGACTATAGAAAACTGTACCGCATAATGTAACATTTATTGCTTTTTAAGATAAAAATGTTTTCAAGGAAAGTTTTGGGTAACGGTCTCCTCATGTATTTTACATCGAAAATCTTCTTTTATGGATTTCAATTTTTGCTGAGTCCTGAACATCAATATTTATATCAAAAGATGCATTTTTGATAGAAAATAAGTCATGTTCTTGTGCTCCATAGACATTACTCACTGTATTCTAACTTTTTTGTTGTTATAGTGTTCAGAGTAGATGTAAATAAATCGTAACACTAAGAAACAAAGCCATTATATATCTACAATATGTTTCTTCTTGATCGTAATTTAGACAAAACGCTGATATACATAAGACCAAGGATCGACGTCTTGATTTATTTTAATCACGAGAAGGTGATGGATTAAACTTTACCAATTCATTTAGAAAAAACATTGCCATATTATAGTAAAAAAAAGTGAAAAACTTGAATTCTTTACTTATTATCGTTTAGTCCTTCGTACTCTTTTTTCAGCGCTTCCTCCTAGAATACTTCATATTAATAGAAGAAATTAAGTTATCTATAATAAACTGACCTCTTCTGGTGTAAAGTCATTTTGAATATTAAATGTTTCTCGAATCTGTTCAGTAGTTTTTCCATTCATCATATCAGCTATTGTCTTACATATAATATCAATTAGTTTTGAAATATCTAAATAGTTTGCAGCCTGAAAAACATAAGAGATAAAAAGAAATATAAAATAAAATAAAATAAAAACAAAACAAACTAGAAGAAGTTGAATGAGACTGCTTTGATCAATTTTAAGAAAATCTTGATCCCATTTCGATATTTCAATCTTTTTTCTTTCACCATAATCTTCATCATCGTCAAATGATGGTATATCGTCTTTGTGATGAGTCATCCATTCAATAATCTAGATTCGCAATAAAACAAAAAAGAATGAATATTTATTTTCATCAACACCCTAAAAACCTAAGTGTGGGAGGACTATATGAAAGAATTCTATAGCAATATCTTATAAAGCTCGTGTTGATTCAGCAATTCTTACTTTCTTCAAGTTAGTCGAATCTACATTTGGTAATGGAATGGTTGTTCCTTCCTCTGCTCCACAATCTTCAAAGAGCGAAAATTAAAATATTGAGTCGGAAAAAGAATTCCTTACTTTCCATGACATCCTTGATAGTTTTTGATTGTTCAAGAATATCAATATTGACTTCAAATTTTTGTTTATCATTTGATTCTAACGTAATTTGACGGTTACTCATTGTATTGGTAATTGAACGTAATAAATAAAGAATTAATCTAAAAACATACATTTTACATATTATTAATTTTGTTTCCACTGTTTGTTATTGAACCAATTAAACATAGAAAGTTATTTCAACGATTTCAGAAACTATATATAAAAGTTTCTGTGATATTTTAACAGAATACTCCCATGAATAGTCAATGACAAAAACAATATATTTTCTTTCAATCTAAATTTCAAACTTAAATGAGGATTTAGGAATTATTCAGCATTAAGATATCTTGTATATCTTATAGAACCTTTCTTTTCGATGATGAGTCTCTATGATATAGAAGGCATCATAACTCTAAAGATCGTGGCCTCTTCTTCGAAGTTCCATGAACTAACCATTCAAAAACAAGAGATCTATACGATATAGATGTATTATCAATTCGTTTATTAAGTAGTACTTTTTTCGCATATAATAGAACGCTATTTTCTCGTCATGTACCAAGAAATAATTTGTTCTTACAAGATCTTCTAAACTTCTGTAATTTATAAAAAGAAGGCGTGTGACCTTGTTTTTTTCCAACATACAGTGGGAAATAAAAAAAAACAGATCATCGACTAACGCTGCATATCACTATTCTTTTTGTTGAATTTTTATTTTACTCTATTTATCCTCGTCTATTATATTCGTTAGATTCTCTTGTTTTTTGCCGTATCGCTCCATGACTAGAAAATTTGCATGATATTACCTTATGAAAATTATGAATCAAACTCAACTGAATCTTTCTAAGAACTCGTTTTAAGAAGATCATCGAATGCTAAAAAGAATATGATGAATAATAATATTTGTGGTAGAAAACACAGTTACTTTTTACTTATTTACGACACGAATAGGAATGAAATGTGTTTTTGCTTGAGTTTTTTGTGTTATGGGCACATTAAAAAAGAAAAAAACATCGCTGTTTTTCGTTCTGTGGGATAGAAAGCACTTTTTTTTTATTGACACAACGTCACATGAGTATTGTAGGAAAACGTCAGAAAGAAAAATAGTATTGCATATACAATGATGAAATATCAACTCGGGGTTGACAAACAATGATTAAGAGTTATGGGATTTTTTTCATTGATATTGAGAACACAAACATCTGCAACTAAAACATGTCTCCGACCGTGCTCCATAAAAAACGGTTGCAATACAGACTTTGATCCTTGAAAATATTCTTACTGATTCTACATACAAGGCAGATTGTAATATAATTCGAAAGAAAAAATGGAAACAGATAGTTTCCTTTTCAAATTTCCTTACTCACTAGATTTTTTTCTGTCAAACCTTGCTAATAAATTTACATCAATATAATTATGTATTATAGAAAAATCGCTGATTTTAAAGTAGCAAATCGCATTTTTTTTTCTTTCTTTCATTCGTTTCGGATGAATAATTTTGTATTTTTGCGTCATCTTTAAATCGTAATTACTGAAAGAAAAATATTGAAAATGTAACAAAAAATTGGTCACAACAGAAAAATGAAGATTTATATACAGGTAGTCAAACAAAGTATTAAAATTATCATACTTTCATATTTTTCAATTTATGCACGAAACAAAGTAACGAGCGGTTCATAAAGAATGCGATTCTCCATATTTTTTCAACATCTTCTCTAATTTTCATAGATTCAGACTGAATTTGTCTTTCAAAAAAAAAAATTCAGACTTTTATTAGCTACAATACAATACACAAATGTATCTCATAGAAATAAATCCAAGCAAAATAGTTACTATAGTAATACTGCAGGTGGCATACAATATAAAAAATTTTCAAACAAAAAATACAGTTCTTCTGTATTGATATATCTTCATATTGAGCTACGTAAACAAATTGTACTATGGATTTTGTCGAACTTTAAAAGCTCTATGTTATTAGTACGTGTAAGAATTTTCATTGAATAGAATAAAAGCAAAATAGACGTTACCTATTTGAAAAAAAATGAGTAACATTTATTTTATGCGATAAAGTTTCATTATAAAAATTCTTGGATACACTAATACGCGATAGAGATTTTGAAGCTCTACAAAATAGATAGCATGATTCGTCTGTATAACTCGATGCGAGAACACATAAATATGGGAACAGGATGTAAACCGTTCTGTTGAATTTTTCTTTTTCATCGTTGAATGATGTGTTTCTTCCGACATAATATATATGTCAAATAACTTGTCTAGCATCATCATAAAAGCAGTGTTCCTCGCCAGTTACATAATGTTCGTATCATTCATTGCATAATTGACAATGTATTCATCACGTTGGAGAAAATCTTTTTTCAATGACAGCGGTATATCAACGATATACTGATCTTCTTTCTTACGATCTTTATAGGAAGAATGTTACATATAACATTAACAAGAGTGCTTATCATAATAATAAATCTTGGAGTCATAAATGATATTGATCAAATGTTTTCTTTATTGACATGTGATCTAATGCGACGAACAATTGCAAACTTTACTATTTCTTGTAGAAAAAAAGAAAATTATAGAACATTTAAAAATTCTAGATTTAGGTGCCATTTTCTAATTTTTTGAAGATTTTAGCTAAATATAATTTTATTTTGAACTTTTCTCATATATTTTAAAGAAGGATTACATCCAGGCGAGACAAAAATTCTTGACATTGACTTTATCCAATTTTGCTGATATGATCAGTGGTTTCTATTTTCAAACTCTCACTGTGACAAATAATTTAAGTTAACCGATTGTCAGCAATTCCAAGCTTTATGATATTTCGAAACAAATCGATATAAATCGTGTATAGTTGAATTTACTTAGATTTGCCACGAATAGAATGAGATCACTTGTTCTGTGCTCTCTCCACAAGAAAGTCTTAAGGAGGTTGCTTTTCAAAAATAATAGATACCTTTCCGATTATTTTAACTTTCAGTTTCAATATTCAAATTAACCTAAAAACCAAGCAAACATGTATTTTATTAAATAATTGCTGATGTTTGCTTCTGAGGCAGCCATAAATCCAGGCAATAATAATTCAATCTTGACTCGATTATTGATACTCACCTTATTGATAAAAGAGTAGCTTATTTTTTTCTTTATTGAAACTTATAAGTCACGTCTGTTATGAAAAATCGTTATTTTTTTGCACAATAAGACTTCCATAACCTCATAAACAAGAATTCAAGTTTTGATAGACTCATTGTCAACTTGGATTTCTCGATTTCGAAAAATCATGTGACGCTTCTCACCCGATTTTCAGTAAAATTATTGCTTAAGAGAACGTTCATGAGAAGGTCAACGATTATCCCAGTATATGAGGCATAGTCTAAAACCAGTAATTAAAACTTATGAATTTGACTAATGTGATCTTTTTGAACAGAAAGATGAGTTCGATTAAGTACTAATGTTAAATATAAAATGGATCAGCCTATCTTTAAATTTGTTTAGTATTTTTTTTGGATTGTCTTTCATCATTAAAACCCTCATGCAACATGAACTTTGTTCAACTTCAATTGAATTAATCGCTAAACTATTAGTTTTTTCGTTAAATAGGAATCATTCTTAATCAATATTTGAATATATAAAATTAAGTAGTTCAAGACACCATAGACATTCAGTAAAAAAATGGAAGTTTTTCTTTGTGATTCGAATAATGTTCAATATACTTTGACTAATGGTCGATTTTTTCTATGAAAAAAAACCTATTGTATCTCTTTATGGATTTTGGAAAAATTTCTATATTCAAATAATGACCAAGTTTTTCGTCATCTTAGAAAAGGTATTTGTTTTCAAAGAAAGTCAAAGGATCTCCGAAATAAATCGTGTAAATTGTTATACTAGAGTTTTTTCCTTGCATTCTATAGGAAAAATTTTGTTCTAATGATTTCCTTTCTAGAAAAGTATCTATACTTCAATACCGTTCCAAAGTTGATGAAACTTTCAAAAATTATTAGTCTTTATCTGATATGTTTATTCAGTCAACATAAAGATGCATACATATTTCTGGATTGAACTACACATTTTCTATGAAACCTTAGTTTTAAAAAAGGTTTCCCTCATTCTTTTGTCTCATAATTTTTTAACACAAAAATAACAACATATTCAGAAAGACTATAGAAAACTGTACCGCATAATGTAACATTTATTGCTTTTTAAGATAAAAATGTTTTCAAGGAAAGTTTTGGGTAACGGTCTCCTCATGTATTTTACATCGAAAATCTTCTTTTATGGATTTCAATTTTTGCTGAGTCCTGAACATCAATATTTATATCAAAAGATGCATTTTTGATAGAAAATAAGTCATGTTC